CGACCGCACTCAGCGACGAAAAGTCGGCTTATGTTCCACAGAAATGGCGCATAAGCTGCAGATTCTGCCCCCTCCTGCTGATGTGCCCAAGGCAACCACCTCTTCTGCCCATCCCTTAGCCCGTCTTCAGGGGAATTAAGCAATGGCCCCCCTCTATATCTACTGTGTTCAGCACATCTCGCACCATGTCTGATATACATTGTGTACACATCAGGCCTCATGAGAGGTTCCAGTAGTGTACAGCAGGGCGGCGCTCTTGTACTGGAGAGGATGGAGATCATTTCAAGGTGCAGTCTATTCTCATCCTGCAACATCCCGTCCCAACGCATCCTTCTCCCATGACAACCCCCAACTTGCCCCACCCCCCCGTAGAGGATGTAGTCACTCATCCCAAGGACTGTGGATGTCTGCTAGGAGACTTATCCCCCCACAACGAGGCCAGCCCCCCCATCACCATGGTACTCTCCACATGTCATTGTGCCCTACATGCATTTTTTCCCTACAATAGACGGCGCACTTTTGTGACTGTACAATGTGTGGTAACCCATGGCAACCAGATGCCACCTTCCATAGGTATAGAGCTTTTAATACACTGATGGAGGACTGCAGGTTGGTTGCTACGGGTTACCGCACCCTGCACATCACTGTAGCCCCTTGCTCTAATAACCAATCACAATCTGTCCCTCTGTGGATACATTGTACAGACAGAAGATCCTGAGATACAATGTATAACTCATCCTTCCCTGATCGGAAATCTGATTGGCTGCTGCACCCCAGAACCTCCTGAGGATTGGTTGCCATGGGCAACTTCTGCAGATTCTGTCTGCTCCAATGCGTCAGTATAGCCAGAGGATCCCTGCGCTGGAGAGACGGTGTGTAATATGACAGAGCTGCCCATCTACACACACCTATACCCGGGGGGATCTGCAGGTGCAATGAAAGGAATTTACTGAGGCTGCAACCAATCAGCTTCTAGCTTTCATTTTCATTTCTACATTTGGGGTGACGCAATACAATAAATCCCATCTATATACATGTAAACCTGGGGGGGGATCTGCATATACATTGGAGATGACGTAATACTACATACATGTATTTGGGGGGG